TATATATATATATATATTTCGGCGGCAAATATTATTCAAAAATTCGAGGTTTTATAAAACCTCGATTCTTTGAATAATTATTTGAATAATAGCATCGTTCCCTGAATCAATAGATATTTGTAAAAATATAAGAAAACATTAGCTTTAACAAAAAAATTAATTTTCTTCCAAAGTATTGAAAAATTAACACTCAAATACATAATCTCAAACAATAAAATCTTCAAATAATTTATAAACGAAGACTGTTATTCGCTTATTTTTCCTAATAAGGAAAGATACAAACGTTCCATTTCTTTTTTTAAATGTAACGAATGATTGTTTTCGTTCTCGAGGTATTGGTTGGATTTATCGTGAAATCGGTCAAATGTCGAGAAATAACGCATGGACCCGTAAAATCACGAAATGAAATCGTGCGGCCCGAGGCGGAGAATTCGCGCGCTCGCTTCCGCGCGCGGTCGGTATGGCAATGCGTAACAGTCGCAATTTGTAATCAAGATTTATACACGGGCGAACGGAACTTCCGGCCCGACTCCTGTACCTTTTACGCGCGGCAGCAACCCGGAGGCGAATCGAGTTGCCACTCGATCCCGAAAGTAAGCGGGGCTAATGTTACGCCCGCTATAAGTCAGGTGCTGCATGCGGAGAGTAGCCACCATTGAAGGTGGCAGAAGCTCCCCACCTCTCGGCGAAAAAAGTCATCCTAAAGAACGGGCGCGGCCAGCATCCGCAGCGGAGATACGATGAATGGACACCGAATAACCCTTTCTCGTCCGATCTCCTCGAATCCGAACGACCGCCAGCGAGCCACATGTACCGTAAAAAGCATACCGTACCTAACGACCGCACTTCCACGACTTTGATTTTCGGTAATCGTGAGAGGGAGTAAAAGCCTCTTCATGCTTCAATGTTTCTTCACTGAATATCGCGCGAAATTCGTTTCTTTTCGACGAGTTAAATAATAATGTGTCATTGAGGAATTATAAAAGATTATTTCCTCTCTCACACAAACTCGCATTAGCAATGAATTTGTAAATGTGGTTTTCAAAAAATTCCGCACTAATTATATTTAAAAAATTGGGATGAAATGAATTATAGTTTTTATATGTAATGAACTATAGTTTTTATATGTAACTTATAATGTGATGAACAAATGCTGTCATAGACACAAAGCTTAATATGAATAATTTTTGGGCTATGATGTATCAAAAGTTCTCTGTTCTACAAAATTTAAACTTTTGATAATTCAAAAACTATACATTATTGAATATCTATGATATCTTTTGTGCCTCACATTACAAGCTACGTGAAAACTAATTTATTTCATCGGAATTTAATCTTCCATATAATTAGTGCGCGGTTCTTTTTCAAATCTTTCTCTTGTCACAGTCAAGAAGAAAAATATAAGATTAAGCTATTACAGAGAACGCAGGCAAAGTAAAAAATCGAATAAAATATCCTCGCAATGTAGCGCCACGTGTTGAATTACTGCCTTGCTCCAGATTCTGCTTTCTGTGGAATATGGGTGATGATCTAGAAATATCCCGCGGAAACAGTTTTTGTTCAAGACAAGAGTTAAAACCCGGATTTCAGTCCCTTTTTTTCAATCGAGGTCTTCGCTGTCTTTTCAATCGCGCCTTCGAGTCTCGAGACGGAAGAAAAACAGAGAAGACGGTTATGAGAAAATATCGGGTCCGCTCGTACAAAATCCTTTGACGCTTCTTGACGACGATCGTGTGTTTTGGCAATATATTCGGCAACGTGTAATTTCCCGAGGCGCAAAATCCTCATGCCTGCAAAATATTTTACAAAGAACGATGTGAAGTGGCAAAAGAGAAGCTTACAATTAGTCAAAACCGGTGAAAAAGAAACTCCCGTTAACGTGTGTATTCACGTATTCGCGTTTGCGTTTAACGTTATTTTTGCAACAATTGAATAACGCATGATTACCGCAAATTGCAAGGCGACCGGGCCCTGTCCGGCAGTAAATAAGGGATATTTTTTTCCTTTGCGATATTCGGACTCTTTGCGTTCACGAAAACAGGCTGTAAGTGATTGGTGTGTAAGTGATTTGAACGATTTACTTGTCATTCTGATTGAAAGAGAATGTATTTGATTATACAGATTAATTTTTAACGATATAATTAGATAATTGATATCCAGTAAAAAATAGCGCTTTCATCTCAATTAATTACAGCAAATACAGTTAGTGGCCAAATATTATTTCA